CACAATAAAAGGGTTGGATGGAGAGCGATCGGATACATTTTATATCGCCACATAAAAGAGTGAAGAGTGTGTGAGAACTAGTCATGAATTCCATATACACTTGTGGTTCCCTTTGTTTGACAATTGTTAGGGTAGATAAGTAGTTGGATGGGTTTGATTGGTTGACTTTGATGCATATTTGTTGCATTTGCTTTGAGTCGATTATGCTTGGTTTTAGTTGATTTTGGGGTGAAGTATGTTTTATTTGTTCATTGATGAGATCTTTGCTTTGGGACAAGTAAAGGTTTGGTTTGAGGGTGAAGTATGTTTTATTTGTTCATTGATGAGATCTTTGCTTTGGGACAAGTAAAGGTTTGGTTTGAGGGAGTTTGATATGTCTATTTTATATAAGGATTTACCCCCGTCCCTTGGTCATATTTAGGAGTATTTTTGGCTCTACGGAGCTATTTTTATTACTAATATACGTTTTCTAGTGTTTTTGTAGAATTGGTATTATTTTGTAGGAATTTGTAGATTTATGACAAATCCCGAGCTTATTGAGCCACTACGAAGACATTGGAGTCGGATCATATTTTATGATCGTATGTTAAAAGCCCAAGGCCGAGCTAGATAAATTTAGTTCGGTGATTAAGTGCTCGATTAAATAAGCAAGCTACAAAGTTAATGTTACTAGTACGGACCAAACAAGTATCACGATATTTTACTAGATGAGCCAAGTAGTGATTAGAGAGAGGTTCGGGCCTAAAGCAAACGGAAGCCCAACCCCAAGTGATCAGCTGATTTGGCGTAAAAATAGGCTGGCCCGGTCGGACGTCGGGCAATAATCGATCGGGCGAGCTTGTTTTCATCCACCGAGTTTGTTAAGTCGGTCTTCATATTCAGCGGGTTATAAAAACCCGTAAATTGGGGAACAAGAGATAGCTTTTCATTATTAGTTTTGTTTGACAACTGTTAGTAAGAGCACCTTTTCATTATTTGCAGTAGACTTAGTTTTAGTTGGATTTCTTGATTTATTGGTTTGAGTTGACTTTTCTTTATTTTCCTTAGTTTTACTTTAAGATAGTTTTTAGTAATTAGTTTTTCTGGTTTTTACGAAACTTTGTGTTTTGCTTAAGTTTATATACTATTGTCTTAATATGAGTTTTGTTATCATTGATTCTTATTTGCTTACTTTAATTGTTTTAATTAATTGTTTATCGATGCTTAGTTTATTTGTTTTGTTTATTTTAGTTTTAATTATGCACGAGTAGTTTAATTCTAGGGTTCTTGGGGATCCATGAATAATATGAAGGGATGATTTATTATTGTTGATTGTTAATGTTGTGGATTAATTTCCTATTGATTGTTATAATGCTATGCAATTAGATTTGCGCAGGTATAATTGTATGAGTAATGCTATATTGAATCGAGATTCGATAGATGAGAATTAATATTAATGCCTAGTTTCAATAGGTGAAATTAATTTATAAATGGTTAAGTCAAGATTCGAGAGATACGATTTAATACCGCTAAGTTAATTATGTGGTTGTAATAATATGTAGCGAAAGCCCTTTGTAATCTAGTTAAATTATGCATTAATAATTGATTATTGTCTTTCATCCCGGAATAATATTTATTGGTGAACCTATGACCCTAGGCTTTTTGTTATTGTTATTCCCTTAGTTTTAATTATTGTCGTAGTATAATTCTCACAAAAATACTCATTTCCTGATAATTTAGATTATAATAATTTATTAGAAATAAAAGAACATTGTTTCTATGTGGATTCGACCCTACTTCCCTATCTATTTTAGTTAGTGGTTTTAGAAATTACTTTTGTTTAGGTGATACGACTAGATCCTATTACTAAACCGTCACAGATTTTGCATAGTAAATCCCACTTTCAAGTTAATAATTTTACTGATCATTTAATTTTTATTGGGAAATTAGAAGTGTCTTTTCACTTAAATGTCAATAAATACGGTTGTCTGTCACTTGGTAAGTCGTGAAATTAGTTATAAATACAACCCATATATTTTAATTTTAGAAAATTAAAAATATATTTGTGTGGGTATATTCCCAATAATCCAATTGTATCGCTTGATCAAAGAATAAAATATTTATAATTTATATTGATCATATAATTTGAACAAGCCCAAGATCAGACATAAACAGAAGTTAAAATTTTCAAAGCGTCAAAACTTGATAAAAAACATGCTTAAGTATTTAGTTTCAAAAAAGAACTAAGAACATGCAACAAATCATGTTTAAGTACTTAACTCTTTGGCCAAAAGCTAGTTCAATTGGACAAAAAGAAATCGAACCAAGCATACCCTAGCCTTTGATCAATCTGAAGTGTGATTGGGGCTTCTAGGACACTTGTGTGCTGGTTCATACATATCGGAAGACAAATCGGAGATGTCTCCTTGTTCAATTATCATCATCCTTCCCAAGCTTCTTGATGAAGACTTCTTAGCCCTTCTTTGTTTCCTCTCCTAGAAGGCTCACCTTCAGCCCTTCTGTGCTTATGGTTTTTCTTCCTCCTCACTAGCTCATTTCCTAATTCCAGATCACGGTTAAAGCAAAAACGTGCATTGCCAAACACCGCTTGACGATGAAACTCAGCATCTTTTTCCTTTTTGGTATCCTTCTCCATAACATCCCACTTTTCCAAAGCTAGCACCTTTAGCTCTTGGTTGTCCTCATCTGAGCAAAACTTCTCTTTCTCGAGGAATTCCATTGGTACTTCATCTATATCTAGATCAACTTTTACTGTCTTTCCCTTGGGATGAGACTCAGCTGTGCTAGAGGTTGGACTCTCCATAACTTAGGTGAAAGAAGGATTTTTAGGAAGATTTTGAAGTAAGTTTTCAGACAAAAGATTTTTGTGAAGAGTGAAGATACACCTTGCGTGCTTTAAGTAAAAGTGATTTAATAATCTTAACCTATATTTATAAGTTGACATAAATGCTCTGATCACTTTTAAATTATATAATTTTCGAAAATTACCTGTCCATTACCCCATATAAAAGCTATCAACAGTGTTGTCTGGTAAGCTTTGTCAAAGGGTAATTTAGTAATTCCTTACTTTCATCACTTGATTTCCAATTAATAAATTAAGCCCTAAAACGCTGCGTTTAAGGTTGCGCAACTCAATTTTAATTGAGAATTGATTTCTTTGAAAACAGACTATGCCAAACCATTCAAATCTTTTTGTTTCTGAACGAAATCAAACGGTACAATTTAACTAACTCTCCAACGCTTGGAAAAACCATAAAAACCTTCAAGGTGTCCTTCATCCAATCTCATCACCAATTCACTCTCTGATCTTTAAACTTTCAACCTCCTATTCTTCAAACTTTGTGAAGTACAAAATGACTTCTCTTCCTTTGTAAGAAGTGCTCAAATCATTTTTGGTAAAAGATTATTCAATTGAGGCTCATGAATTCTGCAAATTGATAAGTAAATACCCTCAAAACTTCAGATCCGACTTCCTATAGCATATCTAATCTTCGACCAATGAAGAAGGTGTTTTGAAAGGCACTGCCTCTATAGGGCCAGATCGTTTCACTTTGACCTTGCATCTTCAAATGCTCTACAAGATTTCCGAAAGGAAATTCAGCCTAAATTAACCAAGTATATTTGTTTAGGGTAAAAATACCCCTAGACACGTGGCCCTATAAAGGCCTGCTACGTGTCAAGGTTGCAACGGTCAGCAAAGGCCCAATCCCTTTGCGACATGTGTCCATTGTACCCTAATTGAGGTGCAGTTCTCCCCTACTATAAATAGTAGGGGCAGACCTCATTTATAGGGATCGAGAACGATTCCAACAACAAACCAAACACAAAACCCATTGCAAAACGCTCTCTAATCGAGAAGCATTTATTGTTCTTTATACTTCTTTAAGAAAGATTCTAACTTGATCTTCGGAGGCGGAACTCCCACCCCCCATCAGGAGTCTCCGTTATTTGTGCAGGTACAGGCGAAGGAAGGAGCATACTAGGAAATTGTAACTCTCCCGCAGGACACATAAAAAACCCCCAGACATCTGGCGCCGTCTGTGGGGAGAGTACTTTTTAGATGACTTCAGAACCCGTACTACCGGGGAAAGGTAGCCTACCTGCTAGAGAGGCTGAGGTCTACTCGGACCAAGATACAACCGACAACTATGAGGTTGAAACTTACACAGCCGCTGATGGTTCTTTTAGGACTAAGCATACCCATTCCAAAGACAAAAGGGAACGGGCAGAACATCAGGCGGGCCTTAGTCATCCCACCAGAGGTCCGCTTGGGTTAACCCCCACTTCAGAAGGAGCCACTCTTGTCTCTAGGGACGAACTCATGAATATGATGATGAGTTTCAAAGGAGAAATCAAAGGCCTCCTAGATAAATCAGCCGGCCCCCGAAAGGGGCAGGCGGAAGAGAGACGTTCTGGGAAAAAGGCAGCCAAAACGGTAAAAGATAGAGCACCTACTCCACACCCAAAGCCAAAGGTGTCGGTTTGGTCCATTGATATCTCAAAGATTCGCATTCCCATGGAGAAAACCAGAAAACCCTTCCGGCACATACAGCCGGATGGAACAAAGAAGGTCTACTCTGATGCTCGGACGCTCATCCAGGATAAAAAGACTCAGCAACGCTCCGAGTCGGCATCAACGTCGACCTTTCAAGACAGTTTCCATATTACATCAGGGAGACACTCGCGAACGAGAAAAGAGAGTCAGTCGAGCGAGGTTTTCGCTCAATCCGGTCCTTATATAATCCAACCGGCAGTTCATGGGTCACCATACATGCCCTTTGGATCTCCTTACTCACAGTCGGCCTTATTCGGGGGTCAGCCGCCACCTGTCCAGCCTATGGACTGGCAGCCCCGGCTGCTCAACCTTGGGGAACAGCCAACGGTGTTCTCCAGGGAAATCACTGAGATGGCTCAGCCGTCAAAGATAAAAAAATGTGTTGGTAGGTGCCTATGACGGCACCACCAACCCAGAAGATCACCTTATGGCATACACCAACCTGATGTATTTGCAGGGTTTGGATGATGCCTCTTGGTGTAGGTGCTTCCCAGCAACGTTGAAAGGGATTGCTCAACATTGGTTTGGTAACCTACCTGCCAGATGCATCAATAACTTTAGAATGTTGGCATATTGGTTCACATCCAACATCTCAATGAACATCCCTGCTAAAAAGACAAGCCTTGATTTGGGTGCAATACAGCAGGGGGACGAGGAAGGGCTCATGTCATATGTTAGGCGGTTCAACCTGATGAGAATCCAAATCCAGGGATTGTCTGATGATGTCGCCTATATCGACTTCTTCAAAGGTCTAAAGGACGGGTCAACTTTTAAGCTTGACTTGGTCAGAAAGAGGGTCTCTACCCTTCATGAGGCATTAATGAAGGCAGAGGCTTACATACAGGCAATGGAACTTTGCGCTGTTAAACTTCCAACGGATTACAAAAGATCCGATAAAAGATAAAGCCGGCCTACTCAGCCGGCCAAAAGGGAGGAAAAGAAACGAAAAGAAGTTTGGGCAGCAGAGCCATCCGGATAACCGTTCCAGAAGAGAAAGAGGTCGGGTCCGTATGTCCCAAGGTACGAATTCACCAAGGATTGCGCCTCCATTCTCAAGGAGGTTAAAGACCGGTTAAATCTTGAAAAAACGGCAGCAATGAAGAGTCCCGTGAGCAGTCGGGATAAAAGTAAATATTGCCATTTCCACGAAGAGATAGGCCATGACACTGAAGGCTGTTTTTAGTCTCAGGCGGCTCTTTGACCGCCTTTCTGATAAGGGGGCTCTAAAATCTTATCTGCTCAAATCAAAGGGTACTCCCAAACAGGTCAAGGGACAACCTCCAAAGACACCGGCAACTCATTCTAACACTGATGAGGATACCATCTTAACCATAGCCGGTGGTTTTGCAGGCGGTGGTCCTACCATCCGGGGTATAAAGGATAACATAAGAAGACTGATCAACTCAGTGGATGAGGGTCAATCGTCTAAAAATTCATTCCTAGAGGTCAATATCTCCGAAAAGGATAGAGGAGAGGTCAGGCGGCCCCACGATGACCCTATAGTCATTGAATGTAAAATTGCCAATCAACGAGTTGGCCGGATCTTAATTGATACCGGGAACTCGTCTGACCTAATAAGCTACCGGTGCTTAGAAAAACTCAAGTACAAGCCCAGTAGCATGATTCAGGCTCCATACCCTCTTGTTGGCTTTAGGGGAGGAGTAGTGCATCCGGTGGGGATGGTTGACCTACCCATTCGGTTTGGAGAGAAGGGGAAATGCTGGCATATGGTTGTCAATTTTCTTGTTGTTAAGGAACTGACGGCTTACAACGTGATCATTGGCCGCCCAACCCTTAACATCTCCAAAGCAGTGATCATCCCGTCTCTAATGTTGATTAAATTCGAGAGGGATGATGGCACATTCGATTCCTTGAGTGGGGACCAAAAGACGGCGAGAGAGTGTTACCTCTCAGATGTAAAACCAACATTGGTCACAGACGGTCAGGAAAAGGAAATAGTTGAACTTGACGAATGTGATCAAGAAGCACCGACCCTGAAAGCAGCCGGTAAGAAGAGAAAGGCGGATGAAATGGCACCCGTCAAAGAAAAATAATAGAAATCACTGTCAAAGGAGAGGTCAGATGACCTTCGCCCCCAGCCGGCAGGAGAAATTATTGACATCATCTTAGATGACAGCCGGCCTGACAGAACTGTCAAAGTTGGGATGGTTGCTTTTGACAACTTAGGAACCAACTTGCTCCGATTGCTGAGAGAATTCAAAGATGTGTTTGCCTTTGAAGTGGAAGAAATGCCGGGCGTAAGCCCAGATCTTGCTGTTCATAAACTCGTTGTGGATCCTAAAAAGAAGCCGGTTTGGCAAAAGAAGAGGAACCATGGCGAGGAAAGATCTCAGGCGGCAGCAGCCGAGGGGTCAAGAAGCTTTTAGATGCCAGGTTCATTCGGCAATGCTACTACCCGGATTGGGTAGCCAATGTTGTCCTTGTGAAAAAACCGAATGGTACCTGGCGGATGTGTGTAGATTACACGGACTTAAACAAAGCATGTCCGAAAGATAGTTACCCGCTTCCAAAGATCGACCACTTGGTAGACTCTACAGCCGGTTATGCTCTGATGAGTTTTATGGATGCCTATTCTGGCTTCCATCAGATACCTTTGTGGAAGAAAGACCAAGAAAAGACGGCTTTCGTCACAGATCAAGGTTTATACTGTTACACGGTGATGCCGTTTGGGTTGAAAAATGCGCCTGCTACCTTCTAACGAATGATAAACTCGGTCTTCTATGATCAGATTGGGAGAAATGTAGAGGCATACATTGATGACATGATAATCAAGTCCAAGTTACAGGCGGATCATCTATCTGACCTTCGAGAAACCTTCACCACCCTTAGGCGGCATAAGGTCATGCTTAACCCAAAAAAGTGCGTCTTTGGTGTTGAGTCTGGGAAGTTTCTCGGATTTTTGATTGACTAGAGAAGTATAGAGGCTAATCCGGACAAGGTGCATGCAGTAATTGACATGAAGTCGCCTCGTACCGTTAGAGAGGCTCAAAAGCTTACCGGTTGTCTGGCGGCATTGGGGAGATTCCTCAGCCGGTCAGGTGACAAGTGACTTTACTTTTTTCAAGCAATAAAAAAGAGGTCCAGGTTTGAATGGGGTGAAGAGGCTAAGGCGGCATTCCAGAGGCTGAAGCAACACTTGCACTCTTTGCCAAGATTAGTGAGTCCCCTACCCCAAGAAGCTCTCTCTATGTACTTAGCCGTCTCGGATCATTCCCTAAGTGCCATCCTCCTTGCTGAGAGAGACGACAAACAGCTCCCGGTTTATTTCATAAGCCATGTTCTTCGGAATGCTGAACTTCAATATCCCATGATTGAAAAATTTGGTCTGGCTTTATACAAAGCAGTCAAACGGTTGAAACCTTATTTCTTGGCTCATCCGGTTACCGTCTACACTGATCAACCGCTCAAACGGCCTATGACCACGTTAGAGTCATCCGGGAGAATGATTAAATGGGCAGTGGAAATTCAAAGTCTAGAGATAACTTTCGAGCCTAGGCGGGCAGTGAAAGGTCAGGCATTTGCCGACTTCATTGTTGAAATGACTAGGCCGGTACAGCCGGATAATACTGATTAGGTATGGAAGGTGTTTGTAGACGGGAGTTCTACCATGAATGGTTGTGGGGCAGGCGTAATTTGTCATTCCCCGGAAGGGGATAAATACGAGTATGCTCTACGATTCAAGTTTCAGGCTTCGAATAATGAAGCAGAGTACGAGGCCTTGCTAGTCGGTATCCGCATGTGTAAGGCAGCCGGGGCAAGGAAGGTTGACGCCTGTTCTGATTCTCAACTAATCGTTAGCTAGTACCATGGTGATTACGAAGCCACCCACCCGGTAATGTTTAAATTTCTTCAAGCAGTCAAAGAAGAGGTTGGGGCATTTGATGAATTCAATCTAAGTCAAGTGCCAAGGTCTGAGAATAATCAGGCGGATGCACTCTCAAAACTGGCATCATTCGCCACTTGTGATACGCCTAGGTCAGTCTTCTGGGAAGTCGTGGAAAAGAAAAGCATCGAACATGATCCCATTGGAGTTCTAGATTGAAGCTCTACTTGGATGGACACCATCCGGGACTACTTGGTAGACGGCACTCGGCCGGATGCCTCCTCAGAAGCGGCTGCTCTAAAGAGACGAGCATTAAGTTTCGTCATGCACAAGGGTGAACTCTTTCGAAAGGGGTACCTACAGCCGTTATTCAAGTGTATAACCCCAGAAAGGGGAAAGGAAGTGCTAGAAGACCTGCATGCCGGCTTCTGTGGATCACACATAGGCGGCAGAACTCTTGCAAAGAGAGCCAGGCGGCAGGGGTACTTTTGGCCCACTCTTGAGGCAGATGCTCTAGATCTGGTAAAGAGATGTGACAAGTGCCAGAGATTTGGCCGGTTTATCCGTCAGCCGGCTACTGATTTAACGGCTATCTTCAGCCCTATCCCTTTTGCCAAATGGGGCATGGATATTTTGGGTCCATATACACCAGCCTTAGGCGGCCGTAGATACATTTTGGTGGCTGTTGATTACTTCACAAAGTGGGTTGAGGCAGAGGCGGTAAAGGGCATCAAAACTCAGGATGTCATCTCCTTCATCTGGAAGAATGTCATCACCCGGTTCGGTGTTCCTATGTCAATGGTCTTTGATAATGGTCCGCAGTTCGAAACGCCTGTCCTCAAAACTTGGTTGCAAGACCAAGGAATTTCACATTATTTTGCATCCGTAGGCCGTCCTCAAGCAAACGGTCAGGTGGAAGCTTTTAACAAGCTCATTTCAGGCAGAATAAAGAAAAACATCGAAAAAGCAGGCGGCCTTTGGGCAGAAGAATTGACTCATGTTCTTTGGTCAATCAGAACGACAGAGAAGGGGTCGACCGGTGAAACCCCATTTCTCATGGCATACGACACAGAGGCTGTCCTTCCTATTGAATTATATGAACCAACACTTCGAATCATGCTTTATGATGAAGCAGCAAATTGGGAGGCCATGCGTCTGGCTTTAGATTCTCTCCCTGAAAGAAGGGGCAATGCCGCCTTACATCATGAAATCTACTGTCTGAGAATGACGAGAACCTACAACAAAAGGGTGCGCAAAAGACCCCTTAAAGTAGGAGATTTTGTACTACGTAAGCTTGAGGCAACCGGTAGGGCGAACGAACAAGGGAAGTCAACTCCAAATTGGGAAGGACCCTACCGGATTTTTGAAGAAGTTAGAAATGGCACTTACCGCCTGGAAACCCCAGACGGAATGCAGCTACCTCGCACCTGGAACGTAGATAACTTGAAAAAGTACTACTTCTAAGGAATTTGTAATTTTTGTAAATAGCATTGAAATTTGAAGTATATCATTTCTGTTCATTTAATTAAATTAGCACCCGTCTAGTGCAAAAACACAGACAGAAGAACATTTATTAACCCACTGCTCCAAAAAGAGCAGTCATCCGGTGACACCCATCCGGGTGAACTCACCGAAGAGAACAGCTCCCTTCCGGGTGGTACATTGTTCTGGTGATCGTAAACTCAAACGACATTTACTGACACATCATTGAAAGTAAACAGCCGTTCGAAATGATCCATTGCATCTGGGATTCGGCCGACATAAATCCAAAAGTGGTCCATGAGGCAAAATCAAAATCCTGGTAAAGACACCAACCAGCTTTAGCAGCAAAGCACTACAGGCGATTAGGTATTCCGGATGAACACTTGTTTAAAAGAAAAATGTTATTCCTCTTTGTATGAAAACTCCTGCTGTGTTAAAAACACAACAGCTTAAAGCAACCGGTCTATATCCAAAAGATATGAAGACGGTCTTTAGTACCCATCCGACTGCCTATGAAACGGCTACTTGTTTACCGTTGGAGTAAACAGTCGGCCATTTCAGGGGCTTTTTATTGTATC